CCGCAGACGATAAACGGGGGCTCAGTAAAATAAAGAGGTGCTCAAATTTATGGACACATGTTTTTTCCAATGCCTATAGGTATTTTGCAAACTTTTAGTCAGATGGAAAATGTGGTTGCGCCATTTTGCTCGAGTGGTTGATTATCAATTACCACATGTTTCCGCTAGTGGACAGCAAGGCTTGCTTTAATGCGTTCGGCAAAGCCGCAGTGACAGGTAAGGCTATCGTTGGTAGGAGCAGTATGCCGTCAACTTTATTTGTATGCACTTGATCCCGATGTTCAAGTTGACCTCGCTCAAACCGCTGTATAAATGAGAAGCAGGACAAGCATCCAGCTCCTTCGCTCAGACGCTTTGTTTTCCCAGGAAGAAAAGGGATACTGTATCGTTTCAGATTGTCTTTGAGTTTGTCTTAGTAATGCAAGAGTGGCCTTCCAACTAACTTGCCTGTTAGAAGCTGGCCAAAGAGAAGTTGTTTTAGAAGTCTGCTATCGCTCATACGAGAAGGATGCCCTGTCAACCTTAGTGGAATATTCATTAGAAATTATTCGGTATTGGGACTTAGCTTAACCCGTCAGAAAACCACTAATGTAGATCTATTATGGTTTGAAAACACTACACAATTAATAGCTTGTGAGATAAGTTCGTTAAACCCTTCTTACTAATAAGGTGTCCTTACTTGATATTACTACGTTTAGAAATAGTGGAACACTTGCGATGCTGAAATTCACCACATTCGGCGAGGCTAGCATAATAACTGTTGCTCTAAACCAATGGTCCCCAAACTATTTATAACTACCACTCTGTTCGTGCTCAGGCCACATCCATACCGTCCCACTTCCACATCCATATGAAGACATTTCTCTATTGGTATAAGGTATACTGTAAATTCATAATAATGTAAGCACGCATATACCTTCTGCTTTTCTTAGCTGCCTTTAGATGAGATATCGCCAAACGCACATCCATTGTTATATCGCTATATCTACAAGCCTTAACTATTGTTTCATTCAGACGCCGGCTGTCTGATTTGGTTTACTTGTGGCGTATTCTTGTCTAGATAACGTCAGCAAGATACAAATAAACACTCGGGCTTCTAATTTAAAACAGTAAAATAAAAGAAATTACTTTTGTCTGAATTTCTGAGTTGAGGAGTTATCATTATTAACTCTATTTATATTCGAACAAGTATCCACATCTTTTTTCTTGTTTTTATCACAACGTTTCGGCCGTTGTGCCCTCCCTTCCTCAGCTGTATATCGATCTGGGTAACCTACAAGGAATTCTGAACCCTTTATTTGTTCCACTGATCATGTCTAGGGAAGTCTCAAAGTACATACTGCCCAACTTATTGAACTCACCACCATTATGTCACGAAATTCACAACCCAACGCTTTTACCCACTAAGCCATTATCCGAAACGTTGTGACAATAGTCCGAATATAAATAGCGTACATTATTTACATTATTCGGACTATTGTCCTCATCTTTGTCGCCATATTTATCACAACGTTTCAGCCGTTGTACGCTCCGGCCTTCTTCAGGTGGTTGGAATTTCGAACTGAACCCTTTATTTCGCTCACTGTTCTAGTTCCACGTGCCATGTTTTGATGGATGTCAGTTATCAGTTATCTCCTGCTAATTCCTCTATGAAAGTTCTCCACTGCCTTAACCGGGTATTGAACTCACACTCTTTGGGTCCTGTCACTGGATCTAACCAACGCCTTTATCCACTGTGCCATGTGTCCTTGAGGAATGTTTGGGTATTATAAACCTAATGTCTTCAGCAACCATTTTTACCAGTGCTCATATTGCAATTTTGCTGTTATCATTGCATGTTTTTACCAGAACTCATATTGCAACTTTGTTGTTATCATTGCTTTTCTCTGGCACTCATTACTGGTTCCCATATTGTATTTATTTCTATGCTTGGTCGGCTCAGGAGATTTTTGTGGCCTAGCATATGTGCTGATTCCTTATGTTTACGAATTTTCCAATGGTGTTCCTTATCTATGATCTCAACCTGATCCCACGGAGGGTGATGATCTCCCTTCTCTCTCCATATGTGGTCAGCCAAGCCTGATTTTTCTACTTCCTCTCGTGTTACAGCTTTCTGGTGTTCTTGAAGCCTTACCTTGAGGGGGCAGCCTGTCTCCCCTTTATATTTCTTTCCGCAGCTGCACGGGATAGCGTACACACAGTCTTTAGTCATGTTCTCCTCTATGGGGGGTCTCACTCGGGAGAGATATCTGCGAAGTGTCGACAATAGCCCGAATAATGTAAATAATGTACATAATACCTCATTTCAGAAATATAGACATAAATAGTGTAAATAAAAAAAATCCTTTTTTTTTTACCCGTAACTCTCTAGGGTCGTAGGGGCGCAACATGTGCTGCCGCCGCAGTAGCAGTGATCTTTTTTGAGCAAAATAGCCTGACGGAGTCCAACCCTCCCAAGGCTGGTTTTGAATTCAGACTTTTTCCTTCTACTAGACCGGTTGCCAACCAAGGCCATAGGATCCTGTCTGTCGTACTATTTTACCCTTAGTTAGGAAGAGAAGAGATTGATTCATACCTTCCCCAAGGATATTAGCACGTAAGTGTATGTAATAATGAACTCGACTGAAATTCGAATTCAGCTCTCCGAATTCTCAGTCCGAGTCGCTATCAAAAGAAATCAATAGGTTTGTGTATAACTCTTATACTGATTTTATTCTTTATAAAGTTGAAATGTTACTTATTAAGTGTATTAGATTCTATCATATAGATTTTATATTCAGACAACACAAAAGTAAAAATACCAGAATTGCTTTCCTCTTTTTCTCTATATCTCATTCTCTGATGAAGCTTTAATAAAAGTGAATCATGTTAGATTGATTAGAGTTTCCGATTTGTTCTTTATCTTAACATTTAGATCTCTATCTATAAAAGGCAGGATGTGTGTGCGTGTGTAACGAATGCACGGCCGCAATTTTCGACGGATTTGCACCAAAATTTACATGCACATGCTCCAAGTTAGCAGGAAGGCCAAGACCAACAAATGAATTCAGTAAATACGCAAAAACAGAAAAGGGCGTAAGACAAGGATGTGTCTTCTTTACTCGATTCATTCAGCCTATACCTAGCATTGCGTGTGTATGGCTGTGTAAGGCATATATATATATATATATATATATATATATATATATATATATATATAGGCAGGATGTGTGTGTGTGTGTGTGTGTGTGTGTGTGTGTGTGTGTGTGTGTGTGTGTGTGTGTGTGTTTCAATTTTCGACGGATTTGCACCAAAATCTATATGCACATGCTCCAAGTTAGCGGGAAGGCCAAGACCGACTTTGCATTTCCCAACTCTCATCGATAGTGGAAATAATCGATTTTTCATGCTTCTACGGTAGTTTTCATGTAGTTTGCGGCCATTTTCTACTGACCAGAGTGATAGTCTATAGCTGGCTGACACGAATAGGCAGGAAGATTCTATTGGCCAGAGTGAGAGCCAACAGCTGACTGACACGAATGTTAACATGCTAGCATGCAAAAAAATATCGATAGCTGCATTCGTCACAAGTGCGAAAAATTTATATCTGCATGGCATTTTACTCCAATTGGCTCATTCGCTTGCTTAAACTCAACGTTGATTCTGATTCCGCAGAACTGGGTTCGGTGTGAAAAAGTATTTGTTGTTAATATTCTTTCTTCATTCGGTTTTTCCAGTTACGAGTCTTTTTTTTAAAGCTGATCGTTTTGTGTTCATTTTGTTTAGTTCTTTTTTCGTAACAGATTTAATGTTTAGTATAGAGCTTAGAAAAAATTCGCAGGCAAGAAGTAAGGCATGTAGCAACATCAGCACAGCAAAGGGCACTCTTTTAAAGGCAAGGAAGGGCAAAAATATTTTAAGTCAAGTGATAGCGATTGCTGTATGAGTCGTACGATTTTTGAATCAAGCACGGGCAACGCCGGGCCATGCTGCTAGTTTTATATAAAAAGAAACAAAGAAAATTCCTATTTGGTTTTAAATTACTCTGCCGTCCCAGCCACTGCTTTTTAATTATCTTTTTTTTTTTCCTCGCCGGATCTTTCCACACCCTAAGCGTTCTTCAGTTCAAAGTACACATAAAAGAATTAAAAAATGAAGTATTAACAGGCAATATATTAGCATTTTAATAAGTATTTGTATTTTATTTTTATCACTATAACAATATTATTATTTTACGTATTTCTTAGCAAAGACAAATTAGTTTTAAAAATGATTGAATAAAATTTAAATTAGCGAATAAATTTTATTCGGATTTTTATTTTATTATATTTTTTATTTTGCAATTAGCTTAATATGCTTCAGAAGAAATGCGGAACGTGATAATTACACAGAAAAACAACTGAGAAATAATATATAATGAATTTTAATGTCAAACATTAACAAATTGCTCTGACAAAATAATGAATTATTTATTTGTAGATAAAAGAAGAAGGATTATTTTATGTTGCTGTGGGCTAGATAACATTATGTGGCAGACTGGATATAGCCAGCAGGCCCGTGTTTGAAAACTACCACCTCTCACCCTGTTCTGAGGCAATCGCTCGCATCTACTCAGTAAAGATATAACATATTTTATAATTATTACTGGTCATTAAGAACGATTTGTTATCTCTTCTTTTCGAATTGAAAATGTTTTCACCATCAGCAGCAAGATTAGTGACTGATGATGTATCTGCCATTAATACCATTTCTACCCATTAATGATAAGTAAAGTAAACAATAATCACACACACAACACAGACACAAACACATACACAAACACACACATGTACGTATATACATGCAGGAATATTGTTTAAAATTTGTTGTATTTTTTATTGTCGAGGATTGATTGATTAGTTTTTTACATTAAAGCCTGAAGCTAACGGTCGCCATGCAGTATTGATTACGATGTACACACTGTCTATATCTATAAACACTCTGTCTTCGATGTTGATCACTGCTTCTCCATAAAGCTTAAAGCCATATCACGTTGGAACAGCGGCACTCCTACGATCACCGAAATTAAGCAACGTTGAGCCTGGTTAGTACCTATGTGGGTGACTGCTTGGGAATACCAGGTGCATTAAGCTCGGATGTGCGGGTGGTGTAATGGATAACGGTGTAATTCGCAACCCATCCATTGATTAAAATTTAATCAATTACCACAAGAATTCATTCATCTCCATTCATCCGTCATACACCATAATACTACATATTCAAAGGAGTGCCCTACTAAAACACCCATGTCATTCATCTCCATTCATCCGTCATACGCCATAATACTACATATTCAAAGGAGTGCCCTACTAAAACACCCATGTCATAAAAAAGGCAAAGATGTGAATCCAGGACTTGCATCAGTAAATCCTTATTATCTTTAAAATATTCTTACAATCTAAAAATATTTTCTAGCTTTATCAACTTGCAGGTTATTTAAAGCTATTTCATGTGTCTGTTTCATGCTAGACGCAATTGTCAGGCCACATGACGATTGCATCTAGCATAAAACAGACTGTCGCCTCTAGGTGGTGACTTCAATGTTCACTTTTTAATTTATTCATGTATTATTGTGGGTCTCGCCCCTTGTACACAGAATGGACTCGTTCAATGTATACTTATACTACGGAGAGATAGCGTGACAAAAAACGTCGACACAGGGGGTGTTCACTCAGAGTTACGAGAGTCCAGAAAGAAAAATAATTACGGCTTCAATTACAGAAACTTGTAAATATACTTTTCTACTAACCCGCATTCCTGGACTACTAGTCTTCATTTCACTTTGTATTCGTACGTTAATACACATATTTTCCTATTTCTATTACTGGCGTTGTTATTTATTTGAGCCGGATTCCATCCCCGGAATCCACAGCATATATATATATAATACTTTTTGCATATGTTGTATGTTTTTGTTACACCGTCCCACCTTTCAGTTCTTCTGTCCACCGGTAAAGCCGTTGACCGCTGAGGTGCAGCTCCTACACCCAGGCTGCCCGATGAACGTTTGGCACAGGTAGGTTGGGGAGAGGTCTTCCCCTTCACCGGTCGGCCCGAGAAACACTCACGCTGTTTAGCTGGCAGGTCGTTAAGATGGTGGAGAGTTCTGTTGGAAAAGGTATTGAATCCATTGGATCATCCATCCGATTCGGGACAGGAAGACTGCGTTCACATCTCGATATTGGCAGTGGCATTGCTCCTGAGGTCCCCTAAGAAGAAATGAAGCGTCTCAACAAGGTCATTATTGATCAAGACTACTAGAATCTAACAGGGGACTTGAACTTAGTGTGCATAACAATAGGCATTTCTGTGGGGTCTGCGCAGTGCCACTTGTTGTACCATCTCATTTACTAATCCTAGTCGAAGTTCTTCGAAGTGTTCGAGCTTGTTTAGGAAAAGTTTCAAATTGATCACACGACTTTCCCATATTTTGCTGGGCATGAATTGTCTTTTTCATTATAGAGTCAGACTTGTGTTTAATATCATTGTACATCATAAATTTGATAGTGGACTCATTTTAAGCTGCCTCAAGGATGACCCTCATCGAGTGGCTTCTTTTTTTTTACAATAATGTTTACCCTGTAGAGGGTCCAAGAGACACTTGAGGTAGGAAGTTACAGAGTAAGAGGCACCATTCCAAATAAGCTGATAATGACAGCAAAATGCAAGAGGCCACAGGACGTGAAACTTTTGAGGGAATCGGACGTTAGGCAAACTTATCTGCTTCTATTGAGGAAAATGTAAATAAATAGTAAATGAAATTTCAGAGTTTTGAGTAGAGAAATTAGAAGTTTAAACAGGAAGTAGACTTTAGAAGGAACCGAAATGCCTATCCTAAAAAGGAAACAAGGGAATAACCTCTACTGTTTAAACGACCAGGTGATGTGAAGCGGACAATAGGTAAACCTATTGATAATATCCTAAACTTGCTAGATGAACTCAGTCGTCCCGAGTTCGTCTGAACACTTTGTTTTTCTTCTCTAGAAGATGAGACGTGTCCCCACCAGAAGCCTTCAGCTTTAGATGAGACGCGTCCCTAGCAGAAGCCTTCAACTCTAGAAGATGATATGCCTCCACACCAAAGGCCTTCAGCTCTAGAAGATGAGACGCGTGTCCACCTGAGGCCTTCAGCTCTAGATGAGACGCGCCCCCACCAGAAGCCTTCAACTCTAGAAGATGAGATGCCTCCACACCAGAGGCCTTCAGCTCTAGAAGATGAGACGTGTCTCCACCTGAGGCCTTCAGCTCTAGATGAGTTGCGTCTCCACCAGAGGCCTTCAGCTCTAGAAGATGAGACGCGTCTCCACCTGAGGCCTTCAGCTCTAGATGAGACGCATCCCCACCAGAGGCCTTCAGCTCTAGAAGATGAGACGCGTCTCCACCTAAGGCCTTCAGCTCTAAAAGATGAGACGCGTCCCCACCAGAAGCCTTCAGCTCTAGAAGATGATATGCCTCCACACCAGAGGCCTTCAGCTCTAGAAGATGAGACGCGTCCCCACCAGAGTCCTTCAGCTCGTTCATGACTTTGAACACGATGCACATGGCCGCTTAAAAAAATGCTGGCTAACTCCGAGTCACTGTGGTTAGTGATTAGTTTTATGATCACATCGTGGCTTTTCATGTCATGTGTTCGAGTGGAAGCTTGCATGTTAACAACGCTCTCGAGAAGTTTGAAAGAGAAATGTCGAGATGTGTTCTCAAATGCCTGGCGTACATCTAAATACATACATGCACACACACGCACACCTGCACGCACCCGCACACACAGACACACAGACACAGACACACACATATATATATATATATATATATATAATTCGTTCGTTATTTGAATAATGCTGCTATTTCTAGTCTGGTTGTCCTGCTACATATGAATGGCCTGTAATGTTATCTATCCTGACCTAGCATCTCGAATTCAGGCACTTTCTCACCATCATCACACACACACAAACATTTACATATATATATATATTTGTGTGTATGTGAAAAAATCCAGACCGCAAATTTATATATTGTTAGGATTCGCTTTCAAAAACCTCAAAAATGTCCTCATTATTTTATCCACGATGCCAAGAAAAACGCATACAAAATATACAACAGCAATTATGATAACATTATTAAAAACAATAAAAATAACAAACTACATAAAAACAGACACATGATACTTACCTACAATCCCTTTAACATCTACTATCCAAAACAATTAACCAATCTTAACAATATCAAAATAATTGCAACCACATCGAAAACTATTATGGATATGATCATAACTAATAATAGCCATAACAAAAACAATTCTGAAGCAGGTAGATACACACACATATATATATATATATATATATATGTGTGTGTGTGTGTGCGTGTGTGTGTGTGTGTGAATAAAAAGACAAGTGGGAAAACTATTCTTAGTCAAAGCGTTTTGTCCTTTTGGCGGACCTTATCGAAGCAAATATAAGGATTTATTTTGGTTTATTAAGGCTTTTTAAATTTGAGAACGTTCATGAATATTCATCAGGTGTATGAAAGATCAGTTAAAAAATGTGGGCGACACAAAGTGTTATAATTCAAAGTCTGGTAAGAAATAAAAAACAAAACCTATGTATGAACACAAAAGGGATCTTATACATAACAATTTATCAAATGCACTAGTCATACACAGAAATAAACGACAAGTTTTATCTAAAAATGCTATACTTATCAAATATATGTTTATTATATAGTTATAATTATAGTTATTATATGAGCACATATATTTTTTAAATATATGTGTTCATATAATCTTTTATTTAAACTTCTTGAGGTTTCTCAATGTATTCTTTCTGGCAGTCCTATATATATATATATATATATATATATATATATATATATATATATGAAATGATTTTTTTCGTTATTTTTTATGGGTATACGCGTTTTTTTGTTGATATCCCTTTTATTTTTTAAGTGGAATTAATGCCAACCGATATATGTATTGTTTAAAATGTGCTCTATTTATGGAGGAAGAGTGCTTAGTATCGGAAATAGGACCATTGTAGATTTATCTTACAGCCACATTCATTGGACCTATAAATAAGTGTGATTTATTATCTTCAGCATGACTGCTTGTTTCCGAGCATGGCCATCTGCTCAAGCTCATGTGTGTTTATTCAATACTCACAACCAAACTCTGGTTTATATTCTAACTATGCTGAGCAAACTTCTGTTACAAGTATGTGTCCTTCCAGGAATTCAGAGTTGCCCTTCTCTTATACTGATTGCGAACCACAGCTAGAGAGTTTGTCCTACCAAGGGTATTTATAAGCAAGTGATGCATTGATCTCGAGTGAAATTCGAACTCGAACTATAATGTGATTATTTCACTGGTATTGGGCGACATACTTAAATCTGTTAGTGTTCGATCCCACGTCAAAGCAAAGATTTCTAAACCCTCACTGATAGGAAGAGTAACACAATCTTCTCCTCCACCCCTATTTGGCGCTTAATAGATATTTGCAGAGGACTAAAGTATTTTTTATCCTGTATTTTCACCCTGTATCTGATTTTGTCATTATTCATCGCACAATATTTTTTTAACAAAATCCTATTGATTATGACAAATGGCTTCTTCAATGACTAAACAACGAAGTTTATAGGGAAAACGTAACCAACTTTGTGCAAATATTGAAAGGTAAATAAAAGTATTCGCCATATGAAAAGATTTTTTTCAAAATGGATCGATTACTTAAAATCCCGCCTCGTTAGAAAAGATTTAGCTTTTCAACAAAAAAAAAATACAAGCTAAACTTCGGTGAATAATAGACTGACAAAAAGGTCATCAAATCTACCGTCCCATTTCCAAAAATGGATAAATGACGTTACAAAGCTTAAAAAAAATTTTTTAATTTAATGATCTGTTCGTGACCAGTTTAATAGAATCGTTCCTTTTATAACGAGTTCTTTTTTTTCTTCTTTATTTGGTGTAAATATGACAACGCAGGACAAGGATGTTTACGTCTTGTATGTTCGATTCAATTAAAGCTAGTAGTAATCAGATTTTATTAACTTAGAAGGCGGCCAAAATGAGGAAATTGAGTGTTAAGCATTAGCTTGAAGGAAAAAATATTAAGAAACAAGAATATTTAGTTGGAAACAAAGAAAAGAGTACTGAACTGTTATGTAATATCAATCCTCCTATATGGCAGTGAAGGCAGGACAATCTCTTCACAGATGAAGAAGAGACTTGAAGCAAAAGAAATATCGTTCTCCAAAAAGATACTGAAAATACCATGGAGACTGAAGACGTGAGCAAATGAGGAATTTTTAGGGAAAATGGAAACAAAAAGGACACTTATATTTAACATGAGAAAAGGAAATTGAATTTTCTAAGGCACATAATAAGAACGTGAGGGCTTGGAAAATTTGACACTCACAGACCATATTGAAGACAAGAGGGTCAGCGGAAAGTAGCGTATAATCCACATAATGTATAAATGGTTGGTAGAACAGGGATTAGGAGAGATAGCAAAAAGACGAACTTTACTAAGAGTTACAAAAGAACAGGAAATTGTAGAGAGCCATGGTCACCCACACCCTGAAAGGACACAGCACATAGAAGAAGTTTTAAAATTATTTGCAATGTATTCTAATACTAATATCATTTTCAATACAATAGAAAAAAATATTTCCAATGTATTCTTAGAGTAAATCATTTTCAATGATATTCCTGTAGTAAAACTATTCCAATACATTTCTATAATAAAATAATTTCAAATTGTAAAATTGATTCCAATGTATTCTTATAATAAAATAATTCTGAATTGGATTTCATCAGATCTGCTTTGTATGCAATGACTAACCTTCAGACGTGGTGGAAAAATTTAATACAACAATCGGTTTACATCAAGAAGACGAAGGAGGAATTCAATTATCCAAAAAAACATTAGAGATTTAAATTCTTCTCAAAGTAATAGGAAAAAGTTTTATCTTCAGGAATTGAACGTTAATAACAAATATGGCTTTTCAATTTAATGCAATAAAATATAGAAGAAGTACAAAAAATAATATATCACTGCATTTGACATTCTTCGTTCGAATAGCATGAATATTATTACTGTAAAATTAATGTTACAAGTTTCAAACGTTTTATCGATACATATCACCTTGTTGTCAGGAGTACCGTTATAAATCTACTATTTGCCCGTGCAGTGAATATTGCTATCACATCTGATCTGATGTGCTCTGGTATCTATATATAGAGAGATTTTTAACAAAATCCAAAGAAGAATTTGCAACGATATCGGTCTTGATATGGCATCTCGGTTTCAATCACTTTCCCGCAACGAAAAGACTTACAAGGCGCCTAAATTCGCCCTATGCAGGCCCATAAAAAAGGGTTAAATCACAGTAATTTAAAACACTTCCTACAATCTTATCAGAATGATTGAAAATATAAAAGGACATAAAAAATAGAGAGGCTCAGTTGCGGAACACGCTCCCTAGAAGAGGTTCGGCCGTAACTGCATCTTCACTTAAGCACACTTCTTTCACCTTCTTTCTCTCTTTCTCACATGAACTTCGAAGGCTTTCATTAATATCTTCTTTTTTTTTTTGTATTTTTGAATTTACTGAAGAAAGTGAATTATGTACACTTGTAAATAATTATCCCATTCCATTGTAATGAATAAAACAAAATAACAATATTTGGATACAAAAAAAAACACAGAAAAAAATTCAAAAATAGCTACACATTGCGTAGCCATCATAGAATTTATGTTTTTTGCTTGTTTTATTTTTATTTATTTATTTATTTTGTATATACATTTCTCCTTCCTTCCCCACCTCACAGCCTTTAAATAACTCGGTTGTGATGCAATAATGAAAGTAGACAAACAAAAACTGTTAATAGACACATCACATCAAAGAAAGGAACACATAATATGGATTCCGACACAATCAGCCGATCACGGGACAACATGTGTAGCGAGGAAGGACAAGGAATGGTAACATACGACAACCTACGACGTACATGGCTTCAAAGAGATTCCCTTACTCTTTCAACCGTCCTCCTCATCAAACTACGTGATATTTACACTTTCCTCGCCTAGCTACGTGACACTTATATTCCTCCTGCCCAAGCTATTTGACATTTACACTCATCTTTACCAAGCTACATGAAACTCATACACTTCCTCGCCAAGCTATGTGACATTTACACGCTTCCGCACCAAGTTAAGTGATACTTACACTTCCCTCTCCTTGTTCCCTTTTTCTCATACATACACACGAAGAAATTACATTTCTTTTCATCTTAACAAGCAACTACAAACAAGGACTCATACACGCTACGAAAAATTTGGTTGTAAAAACACGAATATAAAAACATTTCATATTTCTATATTTACAAACCTTTCTCGCCTTTTTCGTTGTTGTGAGTTGAAATCTGCAACAAGCATTAGGAGTTACTAACTGCGCTCAAAATAAAAGGATTTTACACCGGGCTCCAAGTCTTTTTCCATCTTTTTTTTTCTTTGAACCTGTTAGTCGG